AAACAGTGAAAAGAATGGAAGAGTTGAAAGGATGGCAAACCTGTTGCTGTAGATATCATTATGAAGAGGACTCTTCTCGTCGTCGTCATCGAAGAGCTCTATATCATCGAAGTTATTGTCTCTCATAGTGTCGTAAAAATCATTTCTAACCTTTGATTCATAAGAATTGAATCACAAAAACAGAGACCTAGTTATGAAATATTATAAAAATGTGTCAAAATCTTAGAAATCCATTTGTGGAACTCAGCTACGGTTATGGATTCACAGGCAGCACAGGTAGGCTATGAGTGTAGCAAACATATGAGTGTTCATTGACTCTTCACTTGTCAATTATGTAATTACTTAATCTATTCCTCTCTCCTTCCGATTGTCATAAAAGGAAACTTCGAAACAATTGACACTTTATATGAATGTAATGATTGAATTCATGGACACAAGTAATCTAAACATAAGAAATACCGAGACTTAGGAGTGTATGCAGTGTTTAGTAAAGTATAACACGTAATGACCTAATTCTGGTAAACTTCTTAAACTTTTCAGAATAGTATTGAATTCATGGACACAAGTAATCTAAACATAAGAAATACCGAGACTTAGGAGTGTATGCAGTGTTTAGTAAAGTATAACACGTAATGACCTAATTCTGGTAAACTTCTTAAACTTTTCAGAATAGTTTTGTGTAGTTTTCAGTGGCATTGCTATGCATTGCATACCATTGCCATCGAACCGGTCTATTGTGGCGGTTCTCCACTCGTCAGTCAAGGCTTAGGTGGAGACTAATGGCTATGACTTACATAGATGTTAGACAAGAGCCAAATGAGTATAATATGAGATACACTTTAATAATACTAAATTTAAATACATAACCAGTCCTTACAGTCTTACAGCGCTCTAAGCTTACAAAGCCTTACAGTGTGTGCAGTCTATATGTGCAGCGATTGTAGCGATTGAAGCGATTGCCAGCCTGTGAGCCGACTTTCCACTGTTGGAGAACCACTCAAAGCCGACCACTCACTCCATCCCTATCCCTATCCCTATCCCTATCCCTATCCCTATCTCTCTCCCATACCATTGCCAATGAGTTTCCCATACAATGAGAGGAATGAATTGAAAACGTAATTCATTGACCTCTGCATCAAAACGGATGTATTTGTGTGCAAAACAAGCACTCATTCAGTGAATCACTGATTCACTCACACTATGAATGAATGCATCGATTAATTCATTAACATCTCCAGTATTGGCATCAGTTTAGACATTCATTTCATATATCATTCATTTATATGTATTACAAATGTATTATCAAATCATATGTCAAATTGGTTTGAGTGATGAAAAGACGTAATCCTTTTGTCTGACACTCTGTCAGACGATTGCATTGAATCCACGGTTTTGGTGATCCATTGAAACAACAAAAGAAACACAAATTGTATTTATTTTGTCATTTTGTGAATGAGTTGTGCTTTTTGTCCGCAAACGCAGTATTAGTTTAATGAAAGACAACACAAAAGTGTTTAGCATTTGATTGTCACCTGAGATGAGATGAAGTGTTAAACGCAAACCACTAATGAATGCAATGTTTTGGTGCTCTTTATGTGCTTTAAGTGATTGATCGGTGAATACGATATCATTTCATATCATATATAGTATTGTAATTCAATCCACACTATAATTGTCGTCAAAACGGCTTTTAATACCAAACGGCATACCATTGAAGACATTGAGGACGATGTCTAACGTGAGGGCAGAGATCCTGGCGGCCAGTCGTTCGCGCACCGGATGGCAGGACTTGAAGCCATTGCCGGTAGACAAGCGACCGATGATTGACTCTTTGCGGCTCACCTTTGAAGACAAGACCAATGGCATGGAGACCAGGAAAGAGACAATGAATACGTCGATGACGTCCACCAACGCCGCCATCACTGACTCGAAAAGTGGCCGAAAGTTGGGATCAAAAGTGAGTCAAATCGCAAACCTCTTCCAATCGTTGTCTCCTTCGGCCACAAAAGCCAACGTTTCCCTCAATAACAACACCACTACTAATAATAACGTGAAAAACGCCAAGACTTTTGATCACAAGTCAAACACCTCTTCAGTCATTAGCGATTCAAAAGTCAAATCAAATCATTTAAGCCATAATTCAAACGCAAATCAAAAAACTCTTCAAAACAAGACTCAAGTATTAAGTAATGGAAATAAAGAGAAACTTAAAAACGGGGATCAGATTCATAGAGTGAACGACGAATCCGTCAAAATGAATGCAATAAACACTTGCAAGTCTTCAGTTGTGGCAAAACCAGTGGAACCCAAGGCTAGTGTGACGCCTGTGGCCACCAAAGGGGTGAGCCCTGCAATCAGGCGCACAGAGAGTCGGGTCTCGCGGTTTAATAACGCGAAAGCAATCTTTGAAAAACTTCAGACGTATGACAAGAAGGGAGAGACCAAAGAGTCCGACACTCAGACTAACGATGGCTTCAATTGTGCCAATACTTGCAACACTACTTCCCTTCAGACTAATGATAACCACTTAAATGAAAGTATCGTTGAATCCAATGCCACTACTAATGACTCAAATAAAGTCATTCCTCCTCAGCAGCAGTCGTCGACTGAAATATATAACAATAGAAACCGAATTAACGCCAAAACTACTTATTCTAATGATCACAATATGTCTAATGATAAGCACAAGAATGATGAGTCTAACGAAACCAATGGCTATCGGATCAATGATTGCATCCGTAGACCATTGAATTTGTCGCGAAGTGTCGATCAAATAGAAGTCTGTGAGGATTCGCCTCCTGTTCCTCTGAGACGCTACAGCTCTATACCATCGCAGCAAATGGTTGCCGATGTGGTCAGAAGTGAAGACATGGAAAACAAACGAAAAACATATCCCAATATAAGTAGTCCTAAAACTACTGATTCTATCGAGAAATTCACTTCAAATCTATCGGCAAAAGAAGAACTGATTGACAAAATAGTTTTAGAGATTTCTGACAATCAGAAAGAGATATCGACTCAAATTGAAGCCAACTATCAAAGTCTTCCTGATCTGAACAGTTGCGACACATCCGGTATTCCCGACATTTTGGACTTCGATGAGTGCTTTAATGACGTGGAAATGATGACCGAAGAGGAGGCACAGAAGCTATTGAGTCGCAAGTCATGGCAGGATTTATTCACCGACGAGCAGCTCCAGAGGGAAATGGAGGGCCTGTTGTGCCCACGCAATAGGCAAACAGAGCCAACCCGTGAACAAAACTGTGTCGAAGATCTTAAGCACATGAACTCAAACGGAACACTTAGTAGCGAAACACCGACCGTTCAGCTCATCGATAATGTCATCAGTATATCGAACGGAGATCTCGATGTCGACGACATTTGTGGCGGAGAAGCAAATGCTGAGAACGACTTGACCACCACTAATAGTGGGACCAGTATTATATTGGATGACATTGAGTACCATCTCTTACCCGACGGACACTTTTATGTCGAAACTCCTGGTCTTCCCAATAGTGACGAAGAGACCGAAGATTGCGTTTCATTGCTCTTAAGTAACGTATCGCCGCGGAAGAAGACTAGAGTCCGCTTCAGTTCTAATCCCATGAAAGTCTATTCAACGCATTCCGTCGAAGACTATGACCGGCGTAATGAAGACGTGGATCCAGTGGTGGCTTCGGCTGAGTATGAGTTAGAGAAACGAATCGAAAGGATGGATGTCTTTCCCGTTGAACTGATGAAAGGACCCGACGGTCTCGGACTTAGTATTATTGGGTATGTTTTGCATTTGTAATACCGTACCTATATTTATGGTATTAATTAGTTGTATTGTGAATACTGTATAGTATGGGTGTCGGCGCTGACGCCGGTATTGAGAAATTGGGAATTTTCGTGAAGACAATCACAGAAAACGGTGCCGCAGATCGAGACGAACGGTAAATGAAGTGATATTTTCCATGTTTTCTATTAATACAACAAATTATGTAATCTTTGAAACAGTATTCAAGTGAACGACCAGATTATCGAAGTTGACGGCAACTCCTTAGTCGGTGTGACTCAGGCCTACGCGGCCTCAGTATTGCGATCGACCAGTGGTTTGGTTCGGTTCCTGATTGGCCGGGAGAGGGATAACGTGAACAGTGAAATCGCACAATTGATTTCACAATCACTGCAATCGGAACACTGCTCTGAGAATGGATTTGACTCTCAAAAGGATGTGTTTCTGTCTTCAGAATCGCCAACAATTGAGGCCAAAGACGACGAAGAGATGAATTCAAATGAATTTGATTCTGCTTTCGATAATAACTACCAAAACAGTGAATCGATTAACGAAACGATTTCGTCGAATATAAGCGAAAGCAAACACTTCACGTCCACCGAAGAGATGTCCGAATTAGGAGTTCTTAGAAACAAATTGTTTGAATTTGAATCAAAGAACTCGTCACTCAATGAGGATCTCATAAAACTGAAACAAAAATACGATCAGAAAGTGAATGAATTGCAGAACCAATTGGAAGACGCTTTGGTTGAGTCGAGACAAAGCGAGTGCGAAGTGAACTGTTCTCGCAAAGAGGTGGACCAATACAATAGGCTTATAGAGGATATGAGGAATCAATTGACGACTTTGGAGAAGAAATACCACAAATCAAAGAAAATGATCAAAGAATTGCAACACAAAGACCAGGGAATGGCTGCTAAAGAGGACCTCCAACTTAACCAACAAAGAGAATACGTATTCATGACTTTAATCCAAGCCCTCAAAGACCGCATAATAGTATTGGAGAGAAAGCTTCTGGAGATCCAAAGAAATACTGGAATGAGTGTACAAATGACGACTGAAAGCAGTTTACATCACATTATTTCAGACCTTTTAGTCAGAACTCAATCTGAAGAACAGTTGCTTTTACTGAAACAGCTCTCGTCGGACATCCCAACCGATACCAACACTAATAACTCGAGCATAGGATTCAATGATGAAAACTTGAGTTTAAGTCAAACAGAACTACTGGACAGCAGTGCAGCCAAACAGAAGGCAGGTCTGGCCAGTAAGGGGAGTCTCGCCAATCGACAGCCGCCTTCTATGCGTAGACACTCGAGCACTGGCTCTGTGGAGGTGTCGAGTGATTGTGATTCGCCGCGAAGACAAATCTCTTACACTAAATGCGAGACTGAGATTGTGGTGAAGAGCGACCCAACCAGTCCTATGAGGGAAACGCCAACCCATTCGGCCTCTAATCAGCTATATTTGCCAATCGCTGACAAAATTGATACTCAAAACAACCGGCGAGTGTCGAACACCTCTTCGAGTCCCTCGAGTTTCACGAGTTCGTCGCCAAATCACTCGCATCCCTATCCCACGCAGCGTTTGTCGGCTCCGGTGTCGCCCAATTCGGTGCACTCCTCCTCATCGTCGACATCACTCAACAGTCCTATCCATGCAATCGACGACTACGAGAACAGCCCTAAAAACTATCGACGCAATCCTCACCCTATTTACGAGTGGAATGTCGATGAGGTGTCCCAATGGTTGGTCGCTCTTAATCTCAATTCTTATGTCAATAAATTCCAAGAAAACAAGATTTCGGGACCTTTTCTCTTACACTTAGACAGCACTCAACTGAAGGTTTGTCTCATTTAATACACAAAAACATTGAGAGAAATTAAAATGAATTGAATTTGTTGTGTAGAGTTTGGGCGTCTCTAACAGCACTGATCGCTCATTGCTTAAGAAGAAGATCAAGGAATTCAAAGCGGAGGTGGAAAGGGAGCGAAAAGCATTAGAAAAGGAACAGAAAGCGAGGGAAAGGCTTATGAAAAAAGAGGACAAATTTCGGAAGAAGTAGTAAAGCGATGACAGCCTCATATGAAAGCGGATCTAATTTAAAGTGTGTTTGTGATGAGTAGTGAAGGTTTAGTTTAATTGTGTGTATAATAACTAACTATAAATAATTTAATATAAGTATTCAAACCGATTGGAGCTCACTCTCAGTGCTATTGATGTGCTTTTCCATCAGTTATTTATTAGTAATTTATTGATAAATCAATTCATGTCTATTCGATGGCATAATATAATTAAGAATTTATGCTAAATATTGAGTCATTGAATTAATTGTCTGGAGATGTTATTTATGAACCATTATGTAATGACTCATCAGTATGAGTTTTAAATTACTTTTAATAATTTTTATACATATTTCGTAAAATTCTTACATTTTTATATACATCTTATAACAAATTTTTATGATAATTGACGTATTTTTCTTCAATTTTTTATACAACTCTTAAACTTCGAGTTTATTTAATATTTGCATAATTTAAGCGATAATTCAAAACAAAAAGTACATCTAGTCTTCAAATCTCAGAATCTGAAGTGCATTTGGTTTTGGCTTTTGTTTCCACATCTAATCACTCTTTTAAATAATTCATTGAATTCTTGATGTAATTCTTAACACAAAATTCTTAAACATTTAAAATGTTATATTTCTCTCGCATTTCGATTGTACTTTAGACGTGAAATGCATTTCAAAACTATTGTATTCCTAGCATTTACTCTCAAACTATCATCACTTATGACCCAAAACCAAAAAACTATTCAAAATATTAATTTAATAATAAGTTATTTTGTATTCTGTAACACAACTTTTTTAATTTGTCTGTGATTTTTAAAATAGATTTTTCAATTTTTTAATATAATAATTTATATTATAATAGTATTTGTATCAAAGTTTGCTATTTATTTTTAACTAAATCACAATTAATTGGCTTTACTTT